AGTTATATGTTTAATTTAATCGTTATTTAAATTCAGTGTTTGAGGCAAAATTTAATCATTACCTATCCTCACAATGACAAGGCCGTCTAGCCCCCAGAACTTTCAGACTCCTTTGCAGAACGTTTATTTTCACAGTGGTCGTTTTCTCCGTGGCATGCTGGTTACGCTTTCGAGGGAGCCTGACTCTGTCACATACACTAGATAGGAACGGGCAAGGCTTGACAGGAGATTGGCTCCCACATGTGGAAAGGAAAAGGGGGAAAAAATGTCTATTTTCATCTCAGTAAAAAAGCATATTCATTATAAAAAAAAAGTTTTAATATAAAAAAGAGAGAAAATAATCACTTGAATTCCCACCAATCAGCAATGTTAACATCTTCATGAGTACACATCCAACATTTTTGCTGTTCACATCAGCCTCTTACATGGTTACACCGTTAATCGCAATGCTCATTTCTTTTTTTTAATATTTTTATATTAGTTTTGAATATTTAAAGGAGCTTTATAGAATTTATTATATAATGAAACTGAGTAAAACTAAATAGCTCTTCCAGTTAAAGGAGTCAAGGCTGAGTTCTGTTTTGCTCCTTACAAGTGAGTTATAAGACTTGGCATTGATATCTCAGTGCAGAAGAAAGATGTCACATGTCTCGTTTCAAATCAAAGGAATAAGAAATTGCAAAATGAAATTTAATAAAAGGTGTGTATTTTTCTTTGGCATTTTTCTTTTTTTTTTTTTTAAGATTTTATTTATTTGACAGAGAGAGAGAGACAGTAAGAGAGGGAACGCAAGCGCGGGGAGTGGGAGAGAGAGAAGCAGGCTTCCCACGGAGCAGGGAGCCCGACGCGGGGCTCGATCCCAGGATCCTGGGATCATGACCTGAGCCAAAGGCAGATGCTTAACGACTGAGCCACCCAGGCGCCCCTCTTTTGGCATTTTCTACATCGAATTTAAAATATAATGTCCAATTGAAAGTAATAGTATAATTATCTAATATAATAGCCCAAATTATCATAAGATTAATGACCCAATTCGCAGTTGCTGAGTATTTAGTACCTTTACAAGTGTTTCACATTGGCAAATAACATGCTATAAAAATATCTACACATATCACTTGTTTTCTTCTTCTGGAATTATATTAAAATTTTCTAGAAGTAGCACTTGCTTGGTCAAAGAGTATAATCATATTTATATGTATATACTTCAAAAATTAAATACTACACTAAAAAAATGTGTTTCTCCAACACGAACTCTATAATATGAATGCAATGGGTTTATCACTGAGTTTCAAACCAAATCACCAAGTATTCAGCTAGGCTTCCTTGGTTTAAGAAAAAAAGAGTAAAGGTACCCATGCACTTTCCCCAAAATCAAAGAAAATGCTCCAAAACAATAGTTCTACTACAACCAGCCGCCCTTTGTGATATTCTTCTAATTTTCAAACTATTTCATTCCTTGAAGCCAACAATTATTATACCAATTGCAAATGGTATTAGATATCTGATATCTTAATTTAGGCTTAAATTAGGTCTAAGGATTAAAAGAATGAGACTTGGCCTGTATTTAGTTCTTGATGGAAAACCAGCATGTCTGGCTCCAGAATCCCTGTAATCTTAATAGTAGATTAAGATTTACTGTTGAGGGGCGCCTGGGTGGCTCAGATGGTTAAGCGTCTGCCTTCGGCTCAGGTCACAATCCCAGCATCCTGGGATGGAGTCCCGCATCGGGCTCCCTGCTAGGCGGGGAGCCTGCTTCTCCCTCTGCCGCTGCCTCTCTCTATCTCTCTCTCTGACTCTCATGAATAAATAAAACATTAAAAAAAAAAAAAGATTTACTGTTGATAGTGTGAAGATTTAACACAATGAGAATTGGAATTCTCTATTAATTTCTTTCTACTTATATTTGTTTCCAAGGTTTGCAAGTAACAACATAAAGATGGAGTGCACTGAATCCTTCCTGGGATGAATTAGGAAACTCAAAGGAGGATATTTAAGAACCTTAGCCAAGATACAATAAGTACTTTGGTATGATAACAGCTGTTGGTTCGTTTGTTTGTGTTATCACACATGGTTTCCCCGACATGTGAACAGTAAATCGTTATCCACACCACCGGACAGGAATTTACCTTAATGAGTTGTTCCTGCTCCAAGGAGTACAGAGAGCTAGCATAGCTCACAATGAGTCAGTTCCTCTGGACCAGTGATTGTCAAACTTCTCTGAGTGGGACCCAGAGTACGAAATAAGATTTACACCACAATCCAGTATATACGTAACCTCATTTTCTACATCGAATTTAAAATATAATGTCCA